ACTAGCGGTCTATAGCGCGTGAGACTGTGGCCGAAGCTGTACTAATACATTTGCCGGGAAAGAACTGTTTGGCATCGGTTTCCTCTTTAGCCAATGACGGAAGGCCAGATACGCCAGACAGGCGATGACTGCAGCGAGTGTCCCTATTAACTTGGATCCGATAACGGAGGTTTCTTGTTCAACCTGAGGCAGAGAGGATAAGTGAAATCAGAAATGAGCAGAAGCAAACAGCGACTCGATACGCACCACAGAAGTAAACGGGGACAGAATTGGGATCGTAAAATGAGAAGCTCCAATTGCAGACCACCACCTTTCGTGTTGCTTATGCTGCATGAGCATTGAATGTCGAGTATAATGCGTTGCCAGATAGATTATAACTGCTATCAGCAGGATGATAAGCAGTGCAAGGACAAACTATCTCATACTCAAAAACCTCTCAAGTAGAATGAAAAAAGATAAACGAACCAAGAGCTTTTCCAGAGCCGCATGTTTTTCTCTGTATTCTTGCGCGAGCATTTTGAACTCGCGCTAGGTACCTTCTGATCAATTCAAACTCCATTAGATCCGAACCAAGAACTCACCTCTTTTTTGAATTCCTGGACATGTTCCAGGCGCTTTACCTCCTCCTTATGGTTCTCTTGAGCTACAAGAAGAGCCTCTGCTTTCAAAGCGCGAGTTGCCCAATATTGTTCTGCCACAGTCAATGGTTGCATTTTCATTGCTGCGCTTGCTGATTCGATATCGACGTGTAGATTGGACGGAGAATTGTGAGACTGAATACGGCCGAGAGTGGATGAAGCAAGAGCCATGGTGGCCGACATGGGCTGCTGTTTCTTTAACTTGCTCGACGACATGGTGGACGGCGTTCACAGGGCATAATGTTTAAACCGTACAGCCACAATACGCGTCCGCACGCACATGTGCACGTGATAATAGTGATAATAAAACCGGCATAATTTTACCGCATGCCAGCCTGTGCTAGCTTGACATCAGAATTTAATCTATTCTTGTCCTAGCAGTGTCCAGTGTTAAGTATTTCTCCCATCCACAGGCGCAGCGTGGATATTGTTAGGATATAGCAGGCTGTGTCTCACGGAATAAGCCCGAGGAAGTGGGTTGTTGACATGAGAGATGCTTTAGGTCCTTGTCACTTAACCGTCATGTTGCAGGGAATCCCTTTGCTTGTCGGCACTTTCGGTTTGCTCTATGTCGTTAGATTGCTCGTGTCGTGGTGGAATGGAGTTCGCTCAATCGGGTACGTCGCTCTCTGAATCACTGTTTTTCGTCTCTAACAGCGCCCATGCATTTCGACAGTAATCTGCCTGGTTATCGCACATTATTCTCGCATTACGGGATCGTCTCGAGAATTCTACCGAGAATTCCCTTCGTAAATCCTGGAAGTAATAGTTTCTTCGAAGACAAACATTCCAGTAAGAGGCTATTTTCGCCGGGACCTCTAGGATTAGTCATATTGCGATTCCACAGGTTTTCAGGCTGCGGGATGGGATATGATCTCTGTCGTATGTGCCGTTGTACTTTCTCATCGCTAGTATATTGACAATACCATCCCACATAGGTTTCTGCCCTTCCGCAAACCCTCGTAGCAGTCAGCATTGCGGACGCTAAGGCAGTAAAAGTGTGTTTTTGTTTCAGTCACGTCACGAACTCGCGCTGAATATTGTACAGGAAGTTATATCCGCTAGAGCTCGTTTTCCTAAGCCAGTTGCTCAGTATAAAGTGTTGACATTCTTCGGCCGGAATATTGTGGCTTCAGAAGGGGACGAGTGGAAGAGGTATAGGAAGATTACCGCCCCAGCCTTTTCTGACGTGCGTCCTATTGTTCCTTTACCTGTGTGCCTCAAATTTCTGAACGAACCTTCAGCGTAATAACAAACTTGTCTGGGATGAGACGGTCAAAATCATGAATGATTTGTTTACTGAAGTCTGGATGGACAAGGACGTCATTACTGTTGACCACTGTGTAGACATCACCCTTCCAGTTACGTTTTTTCTCTTCTTTATATGTGGCAGAGATCACATTTCCTAATATTCAACATCTTCTCTCAGATTGCCCTCTTTGTCATCGGCGTCGCGGGTAAGCAGTGTCGCAGTCATCACATGCCTTACCATGCTCAACGATTTATTAGGATTCGGGAGGAGAATATCCTGGCATGACGACGTTGTTATACCTCCTGGACACACTATGACATACAAAGATGCTCTCCATATCGTATCATCCGACGTCTTCTTCAAAGTCTTACTGCCCGACTGGGCATTATCAAACCTCGGACCTCGGATGAAAAATATCAAGACGGCCTTTGATGAACTGGAGGTATGTTAGACATCCACTTAGGAGTGTTTACTTCTTTGACTAAGTAGTTCTATTCTCCAGCAATATATGAGAGAAATGATTCGCGACCGTCAGAATTCGGAAAAAGTAGAACGATATGACTGTTCTCCAGTCTTTTGGACGCAAATAACGACGACCTTGAGGCCAATAGATTGTCAGAAAGTGAGCTTATAGGTGAGTTTCTCAGGTTTCAATTTACCTCAGGTAACTTCAATAGTTGCGATGACAGGCAATATCTTCATTTTTCTCCTGGCTGGCCACGAGGTGAGTTAGAGCGAGGTAAGAGGATATGGCGTCGACTGATTGATGTCATTTAGACGACTGCGCATACACTGTGCTTCGCTTTCGCTCTGCTTGCCCTTCATCCTGAAGAACAGGATAAATTGTTTGAACAGATCAAGTCACTTTTACCTGAGGACCGCTTTCCGGTTTTTATCCGGCAGTCTGTTGAATTCCATCTCATACTAACGTCTACTCTGTTTCCAGACATATGAGGAAATGCCTCTGTATACGTACTCGATGGCGTAAGTCGAACTCCTTACCTTCGTCAGTGTTCCGGTCCTAAATAAAAGCAACTCGCAGTGTGTTCAATGAGACCCTCCGTCTATTCCCTCCTGTAATCCCATTTCAACTTTTACTTCTTGGTTCAATGTATTGAATTTTGTGTAGGTGGTCAACATTCCGAAAGTCAGCGCGGAGGACACCGTTCTGACTGTCGGTAATGCCTTCGGTGAGAAGAGGACTGTCCCTATTCCTAAGGACGCTCGTGTGTCCGTTAATACTCCTGGACTACACTATAATCGTATGTAGAATCGCCCAGATATACATCATATTGACCAGAGCTTACCTCATTATAGCACGGTATTGGAAAAACCCCGAATCCTTCCAACCTGCACGTTTCCTTGAACCAGACTGGCCTCGCGATGCTTTCCTTCCTTTTAGCGCGGGTAAGATGGCATCTTCCTCCATCCTGTCTCTACTTTCTGACCAAGATTTCCTGGTGCTAGGTGCCCGTGCTTGTCTAGGCAGAAAGTCAGATTTATCTCTAGATTACCTTCCCGCTTGAACTAAAATTTGCTTTCCACCAAGGTTTTTCGAGACAGAGGGAATCGTCGTTTTGACCATGCTTGTTTCCAAGTACAAGATATCGCTGAAAGATGAACCGGAATTTGCGGGAGAATCTGTGGCGCAATGCAAGGAGAGGATTTTCAGGACCCACAATGGATTGACACTTACGTGAGTGCATTACGATTGTAGTTGCATTTATCATTCCTCTCTGAATCGCTCATCATCCAGACCGATCCGCGTCCCACTTACTTTTACTCGACGTTCTTAAAGGCGCGGCGTAATCTTGATAATACCGGGGAAGCTTTTTGGTTTACCCCTGCCGTGTCCGCTTGGATTTGGATTTATCCCATTAGGTGACAATATAACTATTTATTTGTGAAAACGCCAGGCTCTGTGGCAGGTAAGGGTCGGTGTGATTAACGCGCAATGCGTTAAGCGGTTACGTGATTTTGTCTATGCGAACATTGCTACATACACCGATAAGCGGCTTGCTTTTCTATTCGTATGTCGCCGCTACCAAATACTGCTTGCCTTCGACAATGGAAAACGGCAATATTTTCTATGTTCACCCATGTAACATTATCTTGGTTTGTATCGTAAACCCCATATACATATATCGTCAGTCTGTCTAGGAAAGACCTGCTTCAACTTGGCTTTCGATACTCTGAATTTTTTTACTTTATGAAATCTTGTAGGAGCCAAGTCACTTTTCCACAGCAATATTATGCTTTATGTACATCTTGTATGTCTCCTCAGTGGCCCTAATTTAATGTGATCATAGATGATTATCTGTTACAACATTATCATATCAACAGTCGTTTTGGCATCCTGACACTGTACGAGGAGGCGCGAACGCGTCGGACCTTTGCACGTGATCGCGTTCGTTCTCAGCGTTTGCGCTCAACGTTGGTTGTACTTTTTTTTCTTACTGTCTCTCGAATGCGATCATCGAAATGAAAAGAGAAACTTCTAGCAGTCTCCCCGATCTTGATATCATCGAAGGAAACAGCTTTCTATTGGCTCCAGGTTCTCTCGAAAATATCTCCTGCGGAAGCAGTGAAACTGGTACCTTCCGGAAATTTGCCTCTACCGTTCCCTTTTCTGTGTCCGAATCGAACCATATGCCGTCTCATAAAGGTCGCGACATATATAATAGGTATGGACAGATATCTCATCCATTCGGAGGTCATCGTTTACGGAAAGAATTGGTTTAATTTGGCTCCCGACTGACTGCGAGATTTTTCCAATGGCTGAACTAGTTGATTAATCCAATGGCTAACCTGGTTGATTAATCGAGGCATTGAACAATGCGTTGAATCCTACCTCGTTAAAAGTAACACTGGTGACTTTGCAGTACAAGGAAGGAGGGTTTCACACCAGGAGTTAACCTCTCCTTGAGTATAAGTTGCTACCGATTGGTGAAGTTTCTGAAAATTATATCTGAGATCTCTTCGGCGGGACTGCGAATCGTGTTGATTTAAATAATCGCACTGAGTACTTTATAATTACAACGCGCCGCTAAATGCAGGTGGCGACATGATCAACGAAATACGGTGGGCTCGTCTACTAACCCCTCACATCGTCCCCCTTAGCTCAGTGGTAGAGCGCTTCACTAGTATCCTGCGTGCGATTCAGTGTTCTGTCCATGAAGAGGTCAGTCGTTCAAGTCGGCTAGGGGGAATATTTTTCCCTTTCGGCTGCCTGATCCAATATTCCTAAAGCCTCCGACATGTTTCTTGCTATTTGTCCTGCTGTGAGGTTTATCTCATTCCACTTCTCTATCAGTGACGCAAACAAAGGGGACAAGTAAAAGAGGGAATAATTTCTAAAAAAAAAAGTTGATACAAAACGCCCGAAGCTGTCTAGACAATACGTCACCCACTATACATTCTTATACAATTTTGCTTAACCCGAAGAAGAAATCCAAAAGCCTTTGTTGATAAAAACCTATTCAACCCGCCTAGCAGTCTTAGGCACACACATCCACACAAGAAGCAGGACGCTGATCATGGAAATCATTCTAGAAAGACCATTGTCAATGTCCTCGCTTTTTCACTTTTAGATCATCCAGAAATCAAGACTCACAAAGGCTGCAATGATGCAATGCCATACTTGGCCGCCAAAAGACCTGTGACGAAAGGCACTGCTGCTGAGCCTGCGACACCAATGCCTGCGACGAGGCCAACGCAAGCTGTGAGCAGCCATCGTGGAAGGATGTGCGTCATATGCGAGACGAGCAGAGGAACATGGGACCGAGTACGAGGCCAATGAGAGAAACCTATATGCATGTAAGATATCGAATCCGTTTACTTAAGGAAACTTGTTGAAAAAGCTTACAGCAACCGCGTTCTCGATGATGGAAGGAACAAACCAGATTGTAAGTTCCAGTCTAATATTTACGGAGGACATTTATTAGCAAGTGTGTGATGGCTGAAAACAAAAACCACATACGCAATTGCGATGAGAGAATATATTATGATTATTCGGTGTGCGCCGACCATCTTGTTGAGCCACATCAAACCGATACGTCCTAGAGTGAGACCTATGCATGATCGTTAGAAAAGAGGAAAAGGAAGAAAGATATCGGCAGTCGCACCGCCAAAGAACCAGACGAAATATAACCGGAACTATGACCACCATGTCGTTCTCGAATAATGAACGTGACGATCCAACCTATGAAATTTGTCAGGGAGGCCGACGGATAGATTGTTTATCGATTTACCACCAAGAGTAACTTCCACACCAATATAAATCACCGAGAAGATGGTAAGTAGAGGAATAGATTTGAGAGCAAAGATCTGTCTGTATTTGCTTCCGCCTTGTGGGTGAACTGTAGAATCTGCGCTTGGTTCTTGGCCGCCTTCTAGGAGTACATCTTTTGGATATCAAACCGAAAATTAGGATTTTAAGACTGCACGATTGAGATACCAAAGACATACCTTCTTGTCGGCGGAACCGGAAGACGTAGATAATGAAACAAAGATTGAGCAGAGAAAAGAATTCAGACAAAATGTAATGGTAAGCCCATTTCTTGTTGGCGAATCCTGAGAAATAGGTCGAAGAAAACGGGGTCGTCAAGGCTCCAAAACCTGTAGAAAGGAATAGTTTAGTGATCTGTGAATGTCTGGGGCATTTGACAGTTGGTTCAGTACCGTAAGCGCCATGCATCATCCCTAACTTCGTTGACATGTGTTCATGCAAACTACCCACGAACCCGTTTGCTTGGGCATTCTTGAAGAAAAAAGAAGAGTAGAAGCAAAGAAATTTATAAACGATACTGTCAAAGGACGATTTTGGTCTGAAGGCATACCTGAATTGATTCACTGAATCCTACAATGACGTAGGCGCAGATTAAGAGAGGAAATGGCGGTGCAGGAATGATGATCGCGTATCCTATTGACTGACATACTGCACCAAGAACCAGAATCTATGGAGATTATAACGAATGAGAATAAAAGAAGCTTTGGAAGCTTCGCTTTGATTTAAATACCTTGCCCATGCCCACGCGATCATTCAACCAGACATTTAGCGCTGCTCCACAAATGTATCCCTTTGAAATTCAAAGATTTGGTTGGCAAGAAACCCTAAATAAGAGAAAGCGAAGGCGTACAAAACAGCTTCCGACAAAGATCATGGATACGACTGAAAATCCAACCTGATAAACCACACACATTCAATGGAAGAAAAAGAGTTGAAGAGGGAAAGCACCTTATACTGTTCTTGCCATCTTGGAAGCATCGGCCCTGCTGTGCCGTCATTCCAACCCATTAACCAAACGCTCCAACAGAGGGATAGGAAGTGGAGCATGCTGTAGCGTTGCTGCTGCTTTTTGGACAACCTCTCCTGTGCAGTATTCAGATTTGCAGAAGAGACGTCCATGGAAGCTGCTTGGTTCACTCCTAAAGAAGAACCTTCAGGGGCTTGATCTAGAACACTTGGAGCGAGGGATGATTCGCCGTTGAAAGGGTGAGCTGTGACGGTATAAACACTCTTTTCGGAGTCCTGTCTGTTGAGGGCTGAGGGCCTTCTGGACCTTTCGGAGAGGTACGTTGGGGCGGAATGCAGTTCGTATATGGTGTTTGTGGTGTCTGTCTTGCTGGCGTCCAAAGGAGCCGGCGGATACGGGTGCTCGAGAACAGGAAGAGTATCTAGAGCGGATTCTAGGTCATTGTCTGGGCGCGTATGGGGTTGCAGTGAAAGATCTTTGAGAGGAAGGTCATTGTTGGAGGAGAGGGAAATGTCGAGCTGAGACCTTGACATTGCGGTGATCCTCCCGCAAAGGGAGAGGGAAAGGAAAGGGAAAGATTAGAGTCGAAAGTCAACCCAGGAGACAGGTTCTTAAATAACGAAGGAGCTCGCTTCCATGGGCCTTGAGGCAAGAAAGGACCCTCAAACATCTTCCTAAAAATTATCACTGCGAAGGAAGATGACGGTGAGAGGCTCCAGGGCTCAGCTGATTATCGCTGTATGTCAGCCTTTTACGTCCGTTGCGGTCGTCGGCATCCCCATCCTTGCGCATTCTTGGACCTGTGACAATTACCGTGTCCCTAGGGTGGGAGTGAAGAGATAAGAAAGACGTCTACAAAACCATTTAGAAAGAGGCCGTCTTGATATCATTGGCCTAAAGACGGAGATGAAGACATCTTTCTAGACATATACTATGTCATTGGACTGACTGTGCTCTTCTCCAGTTAGACTAGGTTTTGGGTGAGAACATAAACACCGCACTTGGTGTCGACAGGCAAGTAAAAAAAAGAGGCTTGGAAGCCGACGGCCGAGAATTTTCCGAAGCTGTTTTTGGAATTTGAGGGTCCAGCTCGGTTCGAAAATTTGGCTGTGATTGGCCCGGAACTTGGACATAGAGGTACAGCGCACAGAGCGCCTGAGAGCGAGTCTTCTACCTTATGTACTGAATCATCTAGATTATGCAAGGGTTATGGTTGACCCTCTCTTCTTCTCCCGGTTTTCCGTCCCGATGAATCGTGGCATGCGGCATGGCGACTCATGGCAAGCCTAGTGGGGTTTTGATACCACGACGAGACATCCCGAGTTATGCACATGAAGGACTGTTGGCGAGGCGTCGCCAAGGCTCTCACTCAGAACCAGTATAAAGTGGAACGATATCTGAATTGGAGTTGCTCGTTTGACGGTTGAGCAAGGTCAGAATGTTCAAGGAGCAAAGGGGAGGGTTTTCCTGCGGTTTTAGTGGGTATTCCCGCCGTGAAAAAGAATTAAAGAATTCGAGATCACATGACTCCTCCCAGCTTCTCTCCTAGTGTGCTTTACCGTCGTATCTTGGCCTCTCATCATTGATTTCTCACTGGATAAATGCAGATAATAGAGGCATAGCTTGTAAAATAATCTGTAGCTTTAGTTTTCTTTTCTGATCCATTCAAACTATGTCAGAGGTTGCACAGATTTGCAATCAAATACCCAATCTGCTTACCTTTTTTTCTCAAAAATCAACCAATCTGAGCTGGAAAAAATGCCAGAAATCAAGAGGTGGAGGTGTTTGGTCAATGTTAGGCAGTTTTCATGAAAGGAGGGGCCAAACCTTGCACACTAGCATGCTAGAGCATACTGAGACATTCAAATTTACTCAAAGCACCCTAAATTTTGTGCTTTTCTGCAGTATTAATCAAAATTTTGCATTGCAAAGCTGGAAATATCATCACAGCTATCACTTCACCAGAGCTGAAAGGTTGAAACAAAAGGAGGAGGGGGTTATGTAGCCAATAACCTGGCCAAATCAATTAAAAGTTATCTGCCATGGCAGATAACTTTTTGTTATGACGTTGATGACAGAACCTAATCTGATAAGATAAGGTCTGGCGTAGTAGTCATAGAGGTCATTCGATGAAGTCCACTTAGGTATTGTCTTCGATAGAAGAATGCCTTAGTGGTTCAAGTTCGTCTCGGTTGTTACAAGAGATAATATTCTCAAGAACAAGCTAAGGAATACATGTAGACTAGCTATGGTTATATACTATTTGGGTTTGATAATAATATAGACGAAACGGAAGTAAAACAAGGGGAATCGGAAAGGGGTGATCATCATCGGGCAGTACAAGGGATGATGATCAAAGGAAAGATTGTCCGCATACAAGTAAGAAAGTGAATGATCATCTTGCGAGCAAAGATGATCATGAGGAAACTATAAATAGAAATTGTTCGATAAATGATAACAAGAAAAGAAAATGGGGCGCACGATAAGATAAGGAAACGGGAGTCGTAACATTACCCCCCTACTAAGAATTGAAGCCCCTGGCTTCAATAATGGGTCCCCGGTCATGTTGTTGTCTGCCTCTTCTCCTTGCCAGCCGTCATAGGCTCCATTGTGCCAATCATTCAGTGCATTGTTGATGTCGTCGACATGTGCTAGTTGTTCCTCTGTGAATTCGTAGGCATAGCCTACAAATTCCCCATCACTTCGTCGGATTGGTCATTGACTACAATTGATCGAGTTGTGGCCTGGATGATACTGGCAGCAGTGATGGCAGCGGTAGCTGTGGCAGTCGGCCTGCCAGTGGTTCGCACTGCTGCAAACAAAGCAGCATCGTCGAGGGCTTGGTCGGGGGTTCGTCGGGGTGCAGGCAGGTCTGAAGGGAGTCTGGGGTCAGGGAGGTAGAGGAGGGGATTCGGCATAGGAAGGAGGGTCGTTATGGGTGGCGTTCTGGGCAG